CAATTTAAATTTAGGGTTACTGCCATTTGATGTTGACTGGCTGTTTTATGCATTTGTTGGTGTAAATTCTTCTTTATGTTGGTGCTCTTTGCTTTTTGGTGTATTTTTAAAAAGGCTAATACTGGTTGTTTCTTTCTGTGTGTAATGCTTCTTTCAGAAGCTCTTGTAAAGCAGGCCTGGTGGTAATAAAATCTCTGAGTTCTTGCTTGTTCATAAAAGATTTTATTTTTCCTTCAGTTGTGAAGCTTAGTTTGGCTGGATATGAAATTCTGGGCTGAAGGTTCTGTTCTTTGAGGATGTTGAATATTGGCCCCCACTCTCTTCTGGCCTGTAGAGTTTCTGCCGAGAGATCTGCTGTAAGTCTGATAGGCCTGCCTTTGTGGGTTATCCGACCTTTCTCTCTGGCTGCCCTTAGTATCCTCTCCTTCGTTTCAACCCTGGTGAATCTAACGATTATGTGCCTTGGGGTTGCTCTTCTTGAGGAATATCTTTGTGGTGTTCTCTGTATTACCTGGGGTTGAATGTTGACCTGCTTTGCTAGTTTAGGAAAATTTTCCTGAATAATATCCTGAAGGGTATTTTCCAGCTTGGATTCATTCTCTCCGTGGCATTCAGGTACACCTATCAAACGTAAATTTGGTCTTTTCACATAGTCCCACATTTCTTGGAGACTTTGCTCATTCCTTTTTATCCTTTTTTCTCTAATCTTTTCTTCACGTTTTATTTCATTAAGTTGGACTTTGACCTCTGATATCCCTTCTTCTGCTTGAACAATTCGAGTGTTTAAACCTGTGCATACTTCTCGGAGTTCCTGTATTGTATTCTTCAGTTCCATTAATTCACTCATACTCCTCTCTAAGTTGTCTATTCTCAATAGGATTTCATCAAACCTTTTTTCAAAGTTCCTAGTTTCTTTACGTTGGGCTACAACATGTTCTTTTAACTCACCGAAGTTTGTTATTATCCATTCCTTGAAGAGTGATTCTGTCATCAGGAGGCGCTCGTTCTCCATCAAGCCTTGTTCCATTGTTGATGTGGAACTGTGATCATCTTTAGAGGGAGAGGCGTTCTGACTTTGAGTATTCTCAGCTTTTTTACGCTGGTTTCTTCCCGTCATTGTAAATTTATCCTCCTGTCGTCTTTGAAATTACCAACTTTCAGATTAGGTCTCTTGAGTGGACGTCCAGGTTGTTAGTTCCCAGGGCCAGAGCAGCGGTGTTAAAACTGATGGTGCTTTTCTGCCCAGGATTCTCCTGTCGGCTTCCTTCTTGTTTCCGTAGTAGGCGACTCTGCCTTCCCGGGGCTCCAAACCTCGGTCAGAAGGGGAACCGGTCCTGTTTACTCTGCGCCGAGTGCTGCCGCGTCGAGGTGCCGGCGGAACCGCTGTGCCGACCACGAGAGTCACTCTGGCGACTCGTGTGTTTCCACCACTGGGGGATCTTCTGCTCCGTGAGCGACCAGACTTTGTCTGAAAGTGTGGCGTCCTCTAGTTCTCCGCGCCTTCCCTGAGAGCTGCAATCCCGGGATGTTAGCGATTGGCCATCTTGGATCGTTCTCCCGGTTTTTTTATATGTAAGATTATGTCATCTGCAGAGAGGGACAATTTGCCTTTCTCTTTGCTAATTTAGATACACTTTATTTCCTATTGTGGCCTAATTGTTTTGGTGAGAAATTCCAGTTCTATCTTAAAGAAAAGTGGTAAAAGTATACATTATTTCTTGTTCTTGTTCTAGTTCTTTTTTCTTTTTTTTTTTTTTTTGTTTGAGACGGAGTTTTCTCTCTTGTTACCCAGGCTGGAGTGCAATGGCTCAATCTTGGCTCACCGCAACCTCCGCTTCCTGGGTTCAAGCAATTCTCCTGCCTCAGCCTCCCGAGTAGCTGGGACTACAGGCACGCACCACTGTGCCCAGCTAATTTTTGGATTTTTAGTAGAGACAGGGTTTCACCTTGTTTGACCAGGATGGTCTCGATGTCTTGACCTCGCGATCCACCTGCCTCGGCCCCCCAAAGTGCTGGGATTACAGGCGTGAGCCACCATGCCTGCCCCTCTGGTTCTAGTTCTTCATGAAAGGCTTTTAGCTTTTCTCCATTCATTGTGATTTTGGCTGGGGATTTTTCATATATGGCCTTTATTGTGTTTAGCTATAATCTTTCTATATTTAATTTTTTTGGAGTTTTTATTATGAAGGGAGTTGAATTTTATCAGATGCTTTCTTTGGATTTGAGATGATCATGTGATTTGCTTTTCACCTATCATTCCGTTGATATGATGTAGCACATTTATTGATTTTTCGTATGTTGAACCATCCTTGCATACCTGAGATAAATTCCACTTGATCATAGTGTATTATTTTTTTTGATGTACCATTGGATTCAGATTCCTAGTATTTGTTGAGGATTTTTACATCTATGCTAATCATGGATAATGACTTCTAGTTTTATGATTGTTGTTACATCCTTGCTAACACAATAATCAGTAGGGTTTTTTGTTTGTTTGTTTCAGTACCTTGCTTAAATCATCCTTTTCTCTCTTGGCCTATAATGCTTCTGTTCAGAAATCTGCTATTAGTCTATAGAGGATTCCCTTACATGTAACTTGATGCCTTTAGCTGTTTTTACGATAGTTTCTTTGTCTTTGACTCTTGGCAGTTTAAGTGGTAAGTGTCTCAGAGATTACATTTTTGGGTTGAGTATTTGGGGACATTTGACCTTTCTGGATCTTGCTATTTCTTTCATAAGATTTGGGAAGTTGTCAGCTATTACATTATTAAATACGTTTTCTATGCCTTTTTTACACTGATTTCTTTCTATAATTCACAAAATGTGATTATGTATTTACTTGATGGTTTCCCATGTCATATAGGTTTATTCATTCCTTTTTAAAAATCTTTTTTTTTTCCTTTTGTCTGACTGGGTTATTTTTTTTTTTTTAAAAAAAAGCCTGTCTTCAAGTACCAAAATTATTCTCCTGCTTGATCTTGTTCAGTTGTTGAAGGTTTCAATTTTTTTAATTTTAAACATTGAATTCTTCAGTTCTAGGATTTCTGTTGAGTTGTTTTTTTATGACACTCTGTTTAATTTCTCATTTAGATAACCAATTTTTTTCTGATTTATGTATATTTTCTATCTGTGTCATTTTGTATCTACTGAGTTTTTTAAAAGATTATTATTTAACTTTTTTTCTGGTATTTCATAGATTTTCTTTTGAGGGCTCTGCTATTGGAGAATTATTGTGTTTCTATGGAGGTGTTATGTTTCCTTTTTCATGTGTCTTGCATCCCTACATTGATAACTGTGTATATGGTTAGCAGTTTCTTCTTTCAATTTTCTGGATTAGCTTTTTTAGGTAAACTTTTCTGTAGACATATCTATAGTGTCATTTGGGTAGAGTGTATTGGCTTTGGTTGAGGTGGTTGCATTAGGGTATCTCTATAGGATTACTTTGGCTGTAAATAATGTTAGCAGTGTCTGCAATTTCCCAAGAGACTTCAGGTGAGGTTGTTCATGGAGTCAGTGACAAGACTTTGCTGGGGACAGGGATACTTGGTGGGCTTGTCCTTCAGCTCCTGGGGATTGTGCATAGGCACTGGCAGTGTTAGCAGTGAGCTGGTTCTTAGGCCCCTGGGTGGTGATTGAAGGCACATGGTTTCCTTACCACTGGAGTTCATGAGGTCATCATTTGTGGTGGTTCCTGGTTGGGCCAGTCCTCTGACCTGAGACTCCCTGTTTTGTGCCCCTTTCCATACCTTGTAATTTTTATTGTATACCAAATATTGTTTATAATAGAGCAGCAGAAATTGACCTAAACATTATTTTTCTTCAATTCTGTATTACAAAGATAAGATCAAGTGCTAATCACCTGAAATCCACTATGAATCTTACTGCATAGAGTTTGGGTGGCAGTTTTAGATACGCTTAGAGTGCCTACGACAGAATGCCTTTGATTTTAAATGTCCTAATGACAACAACTGTTACGTTGCAGACTTTTCTGTCTGATGACTTTGTATTTATATACTATAAAGTTGTTGGAGATTTTATTCTACCTTTCTGGTCCTGCTCCCTTTACTCATTTCCTCTTGCTCCCCACCCGCTAACGGGATGTTTTTGGTTGAGAGCAAATGTCTTGTGGGAAGACCTACTGAAATTTTATCCTCACAATGGTAGGCTCCATCTATTCTAGTGTGACTTTGACTTCTAATCATCACAACACTACAGGTATTATTATTATTTGGCCTAGTCTTACGACTGCTGCCCCAAATCCTCTTATGTAGTTTTAGCACTCAGCAAATTTTTCAGGGAGAAAAATTACAGATGAAAAAAAGAGATAAACTGCAAAAGGGATGAAAAAATTACAGATGAAAGAAAGATAAACTGCAAAATCTGGCATGACAAACTGGATAACAGATTGTAACTTTGGGCTTCATCAGATTCCAGTTTGTCATGCCAGCTTACAAATTATTAAGAGCTGTGCTGGTTTTTCTTTTCCTTAGCAGTGTCCTTCTTTCTTATTTAGCCTGTGTCTAAATGACAAATTCTTCCAGAAATTAAAGTAATAAGCAGGATTAGCTAACTTAAGAGATATTAAGCTTCAATCATTCTGCAAATTTAGTTTATCTTTTTATTTCCATTGCTTGCCTATATTTTTAAAAATATGATTTTTTAGTTTATCTTTTTTTCCTAGTTGTGACTTCCTACTGTGTACTAGTAAATCGATCTTGTAAAAGTAAGAACAAAATTCAGACCCACACATTTATTGCTTTATATAATTATTTATATAGTGTTGGTGTGCTTTAAATTAGTGGATTGTTACTGAAATGTTGGCTTATTTAGATTATTAACATTTGTTGCTAAATTTACCAGGTCTAAATAAATTAATATTAATGTTTGGGGAGAATTATTTTAAAAGCCATTTTTCATTTCAAAATGTGTTCTGGTCAGCAATAGCTTAAATAAAATGTAAAAAAAATTAATTTTTTTTTCTTTTTCCCATTTCTATTTAGTGAGTGATAGTTGCTTCAGGAATCTTGCGGAAGATCGCAGTGGGATAAATCTCAAAGATCTCGTACAAGATCCTTCTTTGTGAGTATTTTGCTTTCAGTATTAAGTATAAATTAAAACTTTATTATTAGTGTTCTTTTTTTCAAAAGTTCGGTCTGAAAACTTATTGGAGGTACAACAATTTTTTCTTTTCTAATAATGTGTTCTATGTATATTGAGATCTGACAGAATAATTTCTTTCTAGAAATAGAATAGATTTTAGAAGGCATGGTGTTACGATTAATGATTGATTTTCAAGGAGGAATGCTAATGGCTGATGATATCTTGCCAATGTGGCAGTAAGTTTTAACCAGGGAAGATGATTAGTAGTTGATTTGCTTGAGAAACAGAGATTGAATTTGTTTGCAACAATTTGAAGTTTTTTGAATATATTATTTATAGTAATTATTTGTAATTATAATTAGAAATATAAATTAGTTCATTTGCTTGAGAAACAGAGATTGAATTTGTTTACAACAATTTGAAGTTTTTTGAATATATTATTTATAGTAATTATTTGTAATTATAATTAGAAATATTAAAGTTATTTGTAATAATATACAGTTCAATATATTAGTTATATTTCTGATGTTTTACATATGGCACAGTGATTTTGGAGAGTTTATAGATTTCAGGGTTTTTTTGCTCATCATTTACATTCTTTCTTTTTTTTTTTTTTTGAGACGGAATTTCGCTCTTGTTACCCAGGCTGGAGTCCTCTCCGCCTCCTGGGTTCAGGCAATTCTCCTGCCTCTGCCTCCTGAGTAGCTGGGATTACAGGCACGCGCCACCATGCCCAGCTAAGTTTTTGTATTTTTTTAGTAGAGACGGGGTTTCACCATGTTGACCAGGATGGTCTCGATTTTCTGACCTTGTGATCCACCCGCCTCGGCCTCCCAAAGTGCTGGGATTACAGGCATGAGCCACCGCGCCGGCCCATAATTTACATTCATTATCAGTATATACTCTACAATAATGTCACTTTCTAGTTTATATATTTTTTATAGTTTTATATTTGCTGGTAAATACATGTACTATCTATATGAACATACTTTCCCAATAATATCATTGTTTATTAGAAGAATAAATAATTAAGATTAGTTAAGCCTGTGAAGTAAAGAAAATTGAGTGCTGCCAGGTGCTTTCTTTAATGATGTATATAATGCATACCATAAAATATGTCATAATAGGAGATCCATCTTCCAGATTACATGTAATCTACCTTCCCACAGATTCACTAATAAATCATTGAAATTTTGTGAGGAATAAACGCAAGGCTATCTTGAAGATGACTGATTTTTTTTTTGAATGATTGATTGTTTAATGAGACTAGTCATGTTAAAAAATATTATCACAAGGGTGCTGAAAATGTATTGAATATTGAAGGTTGTATATAATATAGTGAGTTCAGAATGCGTTTCCAAACCTATCTGTCCATTTTTTCTTTTTCTTTTTCTAACTCGAAAGGATTGCAAATATTCTTCCTCTTTGATTTTTATTCCTATAAGGATTGACAGTTGTCCTTTGAGTCCTGTGAAAATTTAACCACCAATGTGATTATTCTGTTTGGATGTAAATATACATAGTGAATAATATTTAATTGCATTAAGAGTTCTACTTTCCTTTTGGATATGAGTGGAAACTATAATTTCCTCAAAAGACTTTGCTTATTTGAATGAATAAAATAAATTATTATTATATTATTTGTAAGATATATTTTAGTAAAATAAAAATGTATATCTTTTTAATATAGCAATATGATGAAAAACATGCTTATATCAACTTCAATTATATAAAAGATTTGAAGAATTATACTTGAATAATGTATTATAATAATCAGTTTTCATGTTTTGAGGAAATTCAGTGCTTCTTCCTAGAATGTAGAATAACATTCATCATTCAATCTACCACTAAATTCTATATTTAATTTTAGTATTCTAGAAAATTTATCTCAGACCACTTCACTGGATGGACAAAATAATTCTCAGAGTACCTATATTAGAACAGCCAGAAATATCTTAATAAAGCATCATTCTCTTAACTTGCCTTTATCCTTTTGAGTTACTCTTGTATATAGGAATGTTAACATTGATGGAGAAAAAGTTTGTTTTTGCTCCTGCCTGCCTGGATTTCTAAGGAATTTTTTCTTTATTAAGAACTGTCATGATATACTACTGATGATTTGAATTCGTATTTTAAAGATATATTTCTCGTTAGGTAAAATCTTTTAGAGAAAGAAATGCCCAGTGTGGAAAAAGATATACATATACATATATTTGTTGTTATAATGGGAAATATTTTATTCTGAGTTCCTTTCTGATTGCAGTATTCATTTAGTATATACGTTGTAGGTGAGGATCTTTTTAATCTTTTTTTTTTTTTTAAGCTAGGTGTCTTTTTTCTGTCTCAGACTCTAGACATAAATGTTCAATACTTTTCATTGATTCAGGTATACTAGATGGTTCTATGCGGAGTTGAGCTGTTTATGTTGCAACATTGAAGAGGAAGTATGTCAGAAATACTTTTTTGTTTTACAAAAATCTCCTCAAAAGATCACTGTCATTTGGTAACTACTCCAGACTAGTCTGATGGTTATTAAAATTGTATATGTATGTCATTTTAATATGTGTTCCAAATAAAAATTATTAGAGTAAGATGTATGTTGAGTGAATGTTTTGTATGTTAATGTGCCTGGCAGATTTTAATTATGTTTCACCCACTTGAGTTGCCGATACTGAAAGGAGTTGCTTATAAAGAAGAATTAAGATTTTTAGCCCCAATACTGTTAGAAAGGAAGACAGAACACAATAGAGCAAGAAAAATTAGGCTAAGGAAAACCCAGGCTTATCTAGTCAATATTGATACTCAGAGTAGTGTATTCTATGTCTTAATTAGATAAATGAGCAGGTACAGAATTTCTGTTGGTAAAGTATAGAAATAAAACTGTAATGAGTTTTCTTAAGAATATATAATATAAAACAAATTTAAAAAAAGATAAAAAGAAAAAAAGAATACATAATGTAAAACAATGTTTAAACCAAGAGTAGTCAGAGCTAGATGAGGGGCTTACTGCATCAGAAATTGAAAATGTGGAACTTAAATTGACTTATACATGCTTTAAATCTGTGTTAAGCTAATGGAACAATGATGGAACCCTGTAATTTACTTAAACTGTATAACACATATTTCAAGATTTTACTGCCGTTGTAGTAAAACTTGTTACTGGGCTTGAATGAACTGAGTGAGCTATTATGTGAACATGACAGAGGGATGCCATGGGAGAAAAAAAATATGAGAAAGTTATGAATCTCTAAGCAAGACTTTCTGGTCTTGCTACTAACTTTTCATCTGTTGTAGTAATAGGAGCAGAATGTGACTTGTAGCAAGATTGAGGTTAAGGGAATACCTGACAAGCTCTTTTCTTTGGGCAGTTATACAATTTCTTGTTTCTATCACAGTCCTATAGGTGTTAAGTATAAGCGCAAGTAGAAAACCTTGACATTCACTTTTTACTGATTAATGTGCCTAAGGGTTTGTTTGAATTAGTCATTTGCATGCATGCTAGATTTTAAAATAAACAAGTAACTGTTTCAGTAGTTCATCTTCTATTTATGGTTATAAATATTTTGAGGTTAATTTCCTCTGCTGTATATATAATTTGTCAATTTGAGTTGTTATAAGAACTCTTTTTATATAGTTATGGTCTCAATAGCACATTGAAAAGTGTTATCAAGTGTAACTTGATATTATCACTATATTAGAAACCTATCTAATGTGCTACATAATTTTCATGCTTGCAAGAAGTTATTCTTAGTGTGATATTTTTAAGTGGAGAAATACATACTATGTAAGTTATTAAATCATTTATGTTTCTTCTGGAGAGATGACTATTAAGTACAAAAGAGATACTCTGTATAAAGTACATTATTTTCAATTGTATTCAGTTGTAGTCTCTATACAGGTAATTCTTAAACATACTTACAAATCTCCATTTACTGTGTGCTGCAGATAAGAGATATATTACCATACTTATGCTTTAGATTTCTTATTGCTTATTTACAAGGTAACATAATTATTTGAACTCAGACTCATTTATAAATATTGTTAAAAGTTAGGAATCACACAAAAAAAGTTAGAAATAAAAAAAGCATAAAAATGACAACTAGATAAATCTTTTTTTTCCATTTATAATGATCCTGCCGATTGTGTATGTGTGGAACATGTCTCATTTAATTTGCAAAGGCTCTTAAAAATTTAGGACTATTTTAGATATGTGCTTTGTAAGATGGCCAGAGGAAGAATTGTTTAATGAATTTTTCATAGAAGAATTGGCCATCTCTGAATGTTGGAAATATCATTCAGAATGCAGGGTATTAGTAATTTTTCTTATAGTCAAATAGGACACATTTTCATTGTATGTATAGACCAAATTTTGTTTATCTATTCATCCATCAGTGAACACTTGGGTTACTTCCCCTTTTGGACTGCTATGAGCAGTGATCTTATGAACATGAGTGTACAAATACCTTTTTGGATCCTGATTTCAATTCTTTTGGATATATACCCAGAAGTGGAATTATGGGATCATAGAGTAATTCTATTTTCATTTTTTTTGAAGGACCACTATATTGTTTTCTGTAGCAGCTATACCATTGTACAGCTCCACTGGCAGTGTTTCAGGCTCCAGTTTCTCAACATCTTCACCAACACTTAATTTTAAAAATTGTAGTTATCCTAATGGGCATGAAGTGATATGTTCTTGATGTTTTTAATTGAACTTTACTTGGTTCTTCACATCTTGTCTTTAATAATGACTTCCATGGCCAGGTGTGGTGACTCACGCCTATAACCTCTGCACTTTGGTAGGCCAAGGCGGGTGGATCACCTGAGGTCAGAAGTTCGAGACCAGCCTGGCCAACATAGTGAAAATATGTCTCTACTAAAACAACAAAAAATTAGCCAAGTGTGATGGTAGGTACCTGTAATCCCAGCTACTTGGGAGGCTGACGCAGGAGAATCACTTGAATCAGGGTGGTGGAGGT